CTCTCACACACCCTGACAAGCCAGTCATATGCAGACCCACAGCCCCACAGCCAACCAGCCAGGCACACATGCTCTTGGACCATCTGAGGTACTATGGAGCTCTGGGCTTCCCAGTCTGTCTCTGTCCCCCCTCCCCCCACAGATATCCCTGAACTTCCTCTCTCCAAACATTACCCCCAACTTCCCTCCCTCCCTGCTATTTGTCACTTCCTGGGAGGCCTGGCTCAGCTGCCTCAGTTCCTGGTGGGCTGTAGGCCTTTTTTCTTAGCACATCCCCTGTAAAGGGGGCACCCAGAATCTCAGCAAGGCCCAGGCCCCTCAAGACCTCACCAGGAGTGTGTGTGTGGGGAGACAGACTTAGTTTTATGGGAAACTCCCCTCATGCCCAGCTGAGTCAGCCTGAGGAGACAGCCTCTCCTTCCTGCTTCCAAGAAAACCCAGCAGCTTCCTCTCCAGCAGAGGGGGTGAGGGACCCCCAAACCACAGAGGTGGGGGAGGGAGGTAGCTGGCAGGGCAGGGGTTCCTGAGGGAGGACTTCGTGATTCTCAGCCTCTTCCTGCACGGCTGCCTGTCCACACCCAGGGGCAGGGACTCGGGAGGTTGGGTGCTGTGACTTGTGGGTTCTCGCCCTGGTTTGCCCAGGGCTGACTCACTTGCAGCCCCCAGCCCAGTTTCCTGGTGAGGGCCCCACTGGTCAGTGGGGTCAAGGGAGGAGGGGGTCACCAGACTATTTATAAGAAGGAGAAGTCCCTCATGTCAAAGCCGAAAGCCCCAGAGAGACTCGTGGGTGGGGGTACGTGAACTTCCCCCTTATCCTGTCCCCACCCGAGGCCCTGGGCCCCTGGGTGTGGGGGAAACTTGGGCACAGAGTCCTCCTCCAGATGCTGGTCTGGAGCCCAAGGGCTGGGCAGTCCCCTGCTGCATCTGGGCACCCAGGCCAGGAGGGGGAGGGGGCTATCCTCCTCCTGGGGGCCTTGGCGCCAGTGGGGCGGCTTGAGGGGGTGGTGCCCAGGCCACAAGGGTGAGACTGGCAGGGGCCTGGAACCGGCTGTACCAGCTGGGCTGGGCCCCCGCCCTCCCTGGCTGGCCCATTCCCCACCCCCTGCTCAAACACCCTTGCAGAGTGCATGGAGCCACTCAACCTCACTCCAAATGCTGGCCTATCTCCCCTCCCACCAGCATCCCTCCACCACGTGCCCAACTCCATTTCTCTCCGGATTAAAGAAGACCCTAAGTGAAAGGGCCTGAAAAGCTTGGCATACAGTTGGTCTGATTATCCACAGTAGAGTGGCTAATGCTCTGGAGCCAGACAGCTCAGGTTATATTTCGTCGCCAGCACTTATAGCTGTGGGATAGCAGGCAAGTTCTTTTCCTTCCCGTACCTCAGTCTTCTCATCTGTTAAATGGGGATACATAGCATGCATTTTGCTAGGTGGCTGGAAGCAGACAATTAGTTACTCTACTTAAACCACTTAGAAGAGTGTCTGGCCCATGGTAAGAGCCATATAAGTGTTAGCTATTAAAATGATAATTATTATTTCTCTGTCTGCCTATTTTAAGTGTCATTGCTGTCTGTCTGCATGACGCTAACCCTGCCCCCAGTTTGTCTCTCTGACCATCTCTCCCTACCCTGACCCTCACCCCCATTCACCCATTTTTCTTTGCTGTGCCTTTCCTTTCATCTGACCCCATCTGGGCCAGTATCATGGCTCTCCAATACTCCCCTAGCCTGGCCAGCCTCAGCACTGGCCAGGGATGACTCACTGTGGCCTCCTGGCCCCTGGGACCTGCAGGTTGGCTTCCTGAGATATACCCTCTGGCCAGACCTGCCCAGCCCCCTAACCCTGCCCACTGCGCCGCCCCCACAGGGCCCCGGCCAGATGTCAGCTGCAGTTATTAGCATGGGCGGGAGACACAGGCCTTGGCAGCATGCCTGCCAGACTCAGCGGCCACTGGAATCTCCCTTGAGCCTGGGGCGGGGGAGGGGAGCAGTTCAAGCTAGGGAAGAAGGGTGGGGGCACCCAGGGGTCACAAGTACCTCCAAAGACCAAAGACAGGGATGCCCCAGCTTCTAGGGGACCTTCCTCTCCACAGCCACTGCTCTGTTGGACTTCCCCTTGCCCCCACATAGCTCAGTTTCTCTTTAACCTCTTTCATTTTCCTTCTCTCCTCCACCCTTGGTGAGTTCTGTACCTGCCTTACAAAGGCTGGCTAGCCCCATCCCTCAGCATCTCTCTACTCTAAAGAAACTGCCATCATCCAAGAAGATAGAGGCCTCTCCCAGAGAGACTCAGCGTCTCACCTCTTGCTCCAGTGGCTCACGTCTTAACTGTTTTGAAGTCCCACCTTAAGTCTGACTAGAAGCCTCACCATCTAAACCTTCACCCTGTCCTTACTGGGGAAGGGCCTCTGGGTTCACCAAGATTCTTCCCTTGGGTTTTCAGGTCCTTTCAGATGAAGGAGGTACCCTGGGGAGAGAGGGACCCCACAAGGTATTCTGGATAGTTGACCAAACCCCCAGACTTAAACAGGAGTAGGAGTCCTTGCCCACATGAGTGTGGGAGAGGGCACCCCAGACCCTGGGGGTGCTTGTGGGGAGGGGCCCCAGATCTCCGGGCAGAAAGGATGGGTACCCCGCCCAAGGGAGGGGTCAGCCTCGCCAGCCCGCCCAGGCGCCAGGGACGCCTGGAGGCATTGCCCGCCCCCCCCGCGCCCC